TGATGATTATCTAGGAAAGGAACYTTACCTTCATGCCAGTACAACTACTTTACACTGAGCACTTTTATTGGAACCTCCCTGGTTTTACTACAGACATGCACACATACAGACACAAAACTGCTGTAAATGTTCCATTAAAACTGTGACCCTTGGACCAGRCTGCTGCTTCCTCCTGCGGCTCAACTGGTATTGAAATGCTGGCAAAGAAAATCACAGAGGATCTTGTGCTAGGATACCAGGGCCAAAGTTCAGGAGGCTTTCTGAGAGAATAGATTGGAAGTAAAGGCAATCTGAAAATAGCATATGACAAATACATTCAGCAAAAGAAAGCCCCTGTTATCTGCGGCATGGAGCAGCTCCAGCTTTCTAATAAGTTTCTATCAAGCTCTCTCAGGCATTTAAGAGTTAAATTGGAGGAGGTGCATACCCCCCACCCCCCATCTTTTACTGCTGAAAGTTACCAGTGCTTAATAGAGTATGCAGAAAGAAGTGATATTTATATACTCTTTGCAATCAGAGCAGGTTAGATTCATTAAAACAATTTATTTTTAAAAGATTTAGGATAGATTCAGGGAGGTATATCCAGTTTGGGGCATAAATCTCCTGCTTAGGTTTCAGCCAGGCAATGGATTTGCACTAGGTTGACCAGCTGAGTCTCAGTCAAAACGCTCCTTGCTTTGCTCTCCCTTTGGACCCATGTCACATTTGTGACAAGAGCCACAATTAGTTCCAGCAGAAGGCAATGCATTACTCACAGAAAGAGCAGGGCTTTGAAAAGAAAGAGCACAAGCAAACGATGGATCAGGGAGGCACGAGCAGCTGGAAGATAGAGGGTAACAGGAGCTTTGCCTTCACCAGCTTGGCCTCCTGCAGCTCCTCATTGGATTCCTGAATCCCAACTCCATCAGCGATAAAATTTGGCAAATTGTTCCTGTGGCTTTCAGCCAAGCTTAGCAAATACATTGTTAATTCGTTGTTATCTTGCTCTTCCATATCCTGCAGTGGCTTATTTTTAACCACAAAGGARCCTATGCATGCACATGTCCACAAACATTTGTAAATGTGTGAATTCTCTAGCATTCTTTATCATCTCGTTTCATGTTTTGCTATGGTTTAATTCCCCAGTTTCAAATGGAAACTTTCATGAAGCTACCATGTCAATGTTGTTAACAAATTACATAAACCTCTGATTTATTTTATGGTGCTCTTTGTAACAAATTGAAGCTTATTTGCAGAATTCCTGACGCATCATTGAAAGTATTAGACATGGGAAAAATTATTCTTTATCATGATGGGGAAATTAGCATCTCCACTAAGCGTACTAAAAATGTAGGAAGCTTAATTATGCTAGTTTTGTGTCTCTGAAATTTAAACTCTATCTGTAACAGTGTTTGACACAGGATATCCACTGAAAAGGCAGGGCTACAAATATGTACAAGGAGGAAAAGAAAAGGAAGAAAATATCAATGATTATGAGAAAAAAAGTGAAAATAAAATAAAACAAARCAAAATAAATGATTTTTCCCTAGTACTTAAATTTTGTTGGCACAACAGTGACAGACTATATACAGCATGACCAAATCACAGATATAAAAAGCTAACTATTAGCTATATTTGCACATCATTTCCAGAGATTCTCTACCAACTTATAAATCTCTTTTGAACTTGGTCTGAAAAAAATAGCTACACACATTGCTAACATTCAAAGAAAAGCAATTTTCTCACTTTGCAGAGTATAACTCAAAATAAATAGAGCAAAGCAAGATGTACGTTAATGAGAAGCTATTACTACAGATGATCTGCATGGAAGCAGCTGCCTGATAAAGGTGACTAACACTGATGSCATTGGGACCCTCAGGCCATCCTCAGGGGTGTCACCTGAAAGGAKCTGTCCTGTAGAGACCTGCAGGGTGAAGACCTGCACTGAGACCTGCACTGAGACTTGCACTGAGCAGACTTTGAATGGCACTCTCAGGCAACGCCATCAGAAAGGAAAGGGGAGAAATGCAGAAAAAACAGAAATGTGAATCTTCCTAACAGCACTGGGAAAAAWTCCAAGGAAAAACAGGGAAAATTGGTGACAGTATAAATTCTGCTGCCCTCAGTTACACGGATGCCTGCCAARTGTTTTCCAAGTGCTAAGGGACTAGCATCAGTCCCTGTACAGAAGGAAGGGAGCCCAAMTGCTAGGTCTCCTAGTTTTAATTCATAGACAGTTTAGCTGCCTTTTGRGCAGTCTCAGTGGGAATACCTCCCACCCTCTGGAAGTTAGCCATTGGGCAGCCAGAAATGGAAATTCCCGAGCACAGAGGCAGGAGAAGAATGACTATCTTTATATGTTAATGATCCAGTGGTTAGAGTTAAGCATCACAGTTTTCAAGCTGTTGCCTGGGCACTACGCCCAATTTCACAGACTGTGCTGCAGCCCTRTGACAGTCACTAAAACCTGTCAAGATTGCTTCAGGCTGCTGGAAGATTGTCATCCTCATGTGGGCACCTCATTCTCTTCACTCATGGTAAACTTGTACCAGCACCAAGGATCCACTCTGACAGGCAAGTGCTGAACTTGTAAGTATATGTGTGATGGTCAGTACTTCAGGATTTTTTTTCAGATCTGGCTATTAAATATGTATTAATAATGCATTAGATTGCCACTAGAATTATATAACCATCACTCACACATATAAAATCAGTCTTAAAGGCCTAAGTAGTGTCATCATTTTCAGAACAGACATATCTTAAAACAGATCTGTGAAAAATGATGAGTATTTTACCACAATCTATTATATGTTTAACATACAAATATTAATTTATCAGAACTTCAAAGTACAACAAATTGTTTCTTTAAATAAAGGAAGCAGAAATTCCTTTTTGTATTCATCATGAAACATAAAATATAAAATATAAAATATAAACTGTTCCTCCTAGCAACGTCAGTGAATTTAATTCATTTTAGTTCCCACTTTCTATGTGAAATAATTTTGACTTTTGTTGTAACAACCTCATTATTCCCTGTTTTATTACATCATCTGTTCTTCACTAATATTTGCCATAAATAATTTATAACATGCACAGTTATAAATTGGAGATCTGAAAAACACTGCTAGAGAAGAAAGCATGTACAGCTCACAGTGCACAACACGGGCTGATGGAAAGAAAGGTGGCCTGGAGGGCTCCATGGGAATCATCAGCTTGGGGCTTCCCACARAGCAGGAGCTCAGAAAAGCTTCCTCAATTGACAAAAGTTGGGCTGCACTTGATGATTAGCTTCAGATGCCAGGAAGCCTCTGAGAAGGGCAATAACATTAATAGCATCGTTGTCTGAGGTACCATTTTGGCAATCATGTTCCTCCATCAGCAAGATAGCTAGTGGGGCATGTGCTCAGTACTGACAAGGGGAGATGGGAGTTGCCACAGCCTACATAAGGCCGCCTCCTGAAGGCTGCCTCAACTTCTCTGCTTCTCTCACAGCTTCTCCAGCAGTGACCCACAGCTTAGATAACTCATCTCTGCCCACACAGCAGCTGGGGATCAGAAGGTCTTTCTAATTTCCAGTACCTTAACACTGTCAGTCTAAAAAGCTCAGAGACAAATTGTGTTTGCTTCTATTCTCTTCCTTTCTACTCTTAATAGGAGGTAAGAAGGGCATGAAAGACTCTGACTTTGCACAAGAGCACATCAGCCCACAAGAACAAGTGTTCTTGTCCACATGAACACGTTATTCTCCAAGGGTTACGTTTCTAGCGCTATTCAGCTGAAGCAGCTGAAGTGGAGCTTCTGGATGTATAAATTAATGCATGGAGATCCTAGCAAAAAAAAGTACTCAACATGGTGCCCAGCCCTGAAGTGCAGACTGTGGGTGCAGGTCCACAAAATGGCGGATCCAAGCTACCATCCCATACCTGTCAAACTTGCTTCTGATAGGGGGTGGTCTTGCTCCCGATCCTTCCTAGACCGAACCAGGAAGAATCTTTTCGATAAACCATTCTCATGCTCGTACAGCCTCTCAGGAAAACTTCTCTGCTGAGAGAGCAACTAGAAACCTTCAGGCCTTACACGCATCTTCAGCACTCTATATGAGTTATTATCACAAAAACACCATGAATATTAATTTTCCTACAGTGAGGATGAGGTGTGGAGTGTTTTATCTCCCACTGAAAAGTAACTGTACTTAAAAAATCATRTTTATTTTACAGAAACTCTACATCCTATAGAAAGCTGCTGATATCACCCATGCTTGCTGCTAGAACCCATTGATACTACAAATAAATTCTCTCCTATTTGTAACACTCTTGAGAAATACCAGGACTGTCCTCCTGCAAGTCAGCAGTAGGATCCAGCCAGTTATGGGGAAGAATAGAAAGTACTAAAATGAAAAGATATTTTAAAATTTTTAATCATAAGATCAAAGAATAGAGGACTAACATTGCTAATGTCTGTCTCTAACGTGATTAGAGGGGAATGGAGGTGAGAAAAATTCAATTAGAAAGGCATTGTATTCACATTGTATCCTGTAAGAGGACTTCTACTTCGTTTTCCTACCCTTCAAATGGAAGATTCAGAGCATATTGTATAATATAACAATAAGTTCCTATAGGGACATTCAAATTGCATATTGCAGCTAAAGTTTAATCCACAATAACATACACAGAGAGCTCTGTACAGAATAGTCTGACAGAACCATTTACCCATAGTTTCTTTGAGGCAACACTTTATACAGGTCAGCGAAGTTCAAGATTTTTTTATCAAAGTGATCTTGCTGCATTCTGTACCTCTAAGTGTACACCTTACAGAGGATCATCTGGCCATGCATTTTCAATACAAGTAACTTTCCAAAAACAAGAGACTAGGGCAAAATAAGTATCCAAGACTATTTTGTCAGCTTTACAGAAAGTAGCAAAGACAAAAAAAAAAAAAAAAAAAAAAAAAAAAAAACATAAAAAAAAAAAAAAAAAAAAAAAAAAAAAAAAAAGCACACCCTTCAATGGACAGTCACTCACCTGCTCAGTATCTTGATCACTGATTTCTTCAAGATACTTTTTAAAAGGGTTTGGTTGATAGGGCTCTTCCTTTTTCAGTGTTTTCACCAGTACTGGACGAATGACACCAGGTTTTGTCTTGACCTGTAGCACACCCAGGAGAAAATAGATGGAAATGAAACGAAAAGCTTTCAAATTTGTGTAATATTTGTTAGACAAGTCGATTCCAGTGAGGCTATAATGACTAGATTTTTAAAATTTTATTAACATCCTATTTTGCCACCAAAATGATTCAGGTGTCATACTGCTTTTACTATAGACTCAGAACTGGAATGGTAAGAGCTGTTTTTATGCACAGCAGCCTCATCACTGGCATCTGCTTGCTTCAGATTTATAAATAGACACTCTCCTGTCAAACTATTGTTTATAGTGTTTGCTGGTTGTTTTTGCTAGCTGTTCAGCTGCATCTTGATAAGTTTATCAAGTCACACTTTATGCATAGCCACGTATCTGCTTACACTCTGTAAATTCCACTCTGGACTCCTCAAAATGTTAACTGCAAGACAAGGATGATGAATGTGTGATGCCATTACCTTGACTTACATCTAGACAGGAACATACTAGGGGAAAACACCACCTATTGTACACTACAACAGTGTTTAGGAACACTTCTGGAAAAGTACACCTTCATAGACTTTAATCAGCATGGATGTGTGATATGCCTCATTTCAGATTAATATGATTATTAAATTAGGAAAAACTACTTGGTTTGCTACCAACTAAGCAGAAAATTGTCAATTAATTTGTCAATTTAGTACATCTGTGATTTTCAGAATTCTTACAGTAAACTCTGACATGATGGACTGTGGTATAAAGTCTAAACAGAGGCTAGGAAATGGTTTTAAAACAGACCTCTTATTTGATAAGCAAAGAAAAGGAAGGAAAAAGTACACRTTCTTGCTGGAATTTGGTGAGTACCACAGTCCTATGAGGGTGTATAACTGGGTTTTGACTTTTAAATAACTCAGTTATATTCTTCTCTACCATGGCTACACAGTAGAAAGGGGCACTCTCTTGGCTCAAATAAAGATAACAGCAGCTACTGATTTCTTGCTGTGTTTATTGCCCAGAGGGGCAATTTGCCCAGATGTAAGTAAGCAATAGGTACTGTCACAGCTTTCCACGCTCAGTACCCAGCTGTGTATACAAATGCRAAGATATATTAGGTGAACAGATATATTTATGTGATTTAGTGTGCATTTAATTATACCATGCTGCCTATTTGCAAATGAAATACAACTAAGCAATCTGTTTGGAAAAAAAAAAAAAAAAGAGAGATGCCACTTAAGAGCATTTAGTTGTAGGACAAACAAGACACAAATTATGCTCGCTCTATATAGAAAGAGAGAGGAAGAAAAATGACTTTATAGAACTTAAGCCTTCTGGTCATACATTCCTGTCCCACTCCCTGTGTGGGTCATCTGGATGAAAACATGTTTCTTTGCAAATTTGGTGCTCCATTGTGGCCCACTGTACTTGCTGCCTGATAACTAGAACAGGCACAAAGCTGGCTTTGGTCAAAAAAAGCAGCATGGGAACAGCAGGAGGGAAGATGTCCCCTTGCTGGAACAGCTTGAGTTTACACTAATAAAAGCCACATTGCAAGGTGAACCTGAAAATGTAATGGAAAAATTAAAGCTGACCTGACTAAGGTATCTCAAATAGCCTTATGAAGTTAAGCGTAAGTGTTGCAGCTGAGATGTATAATGTAAAGTACATTATGATTACCTTGAAATTAAATTTTCAGGCATCCAGCAAGGATAGGGGAAGAGGGGCCTCTTGGAGGGGGAGGGCACAAAAGCAATAAATGTATCCAGGTCTTGTGACAAGGGGCTGAGTGGAGGGTGGTGGAGGTGGCCATGAGTGGGGATAGAACATTCCACCTGTGTGGGAGTAGCAAAGCTCAGGCAGCAAAGTATCTTTCCTGAGCTATGTCCTTTCTCCTTCCAAGTCTAGGCCCTTTAGTATGTCTCATCAAATACAAGAAAAAGTATTCAACGGAAAACAAGAAACAAACCATGGGGTGACATTAATTTTGTACAAACTGTAATGACTGTCAAGTTGCATTGGAAACATTTTAATTATGATTAGTGAATGATACAATATTCATTTAATCAACTTATATTCAGGAATTAGCGACTCTTTCTTTGTATGAATCACCATACAATATATGATTTTTTTTTCTCAAGACTTTTTGAGAAGAGTTTGCAAAAGTGAAAGACTCCTGACTTCCAACATGAGTGTAAATATGAAAATAAAATGAAAGCTGCAGTTGTCAAGTCATCATTATGCAGACAAAGGACCTGCGGCCTTACTCCCCCACACCATGTAACTAAGCAATTAAAGCCCATTGAGATACTTGAAATCATCAAGGATAAGCTACTATCTTTATGCAGGAAAGCTCTTCCAAAATAATGCTTTTAAAGAAACATTTTCTAAACAACACTGTGCACTCCAGAGCTGAATGAGTCATACGTTTATGTCTGACTCTTCCAACAGAGAGACAGATATCAGCCAGCAGCCAGCTGTATCTGCGGTATCTGAAATACTTTATTAGCTACCTACCAAACAATACACACACACACACACACACACACACACACACACACACACACACACACACACACACACATATACACATTTACATGCATATCTTTGTTCCAAAACTAAAAACTCGAACTCTTCCTCTGCTGGCAGATGGCATGGCTGGCAGGTCTAAGCAGCAAGCTGAAATTTACTATTGCCAGGGAAGGTTTTGGCCTTCTGACATCACCACTGACAAATTATAAATAATAATTATTATTTAGCAATAATAATTGCTAAATTATTACTTTAGTGATGCGTAGACATGTGTATGGCCCTGTTAGCAAATTAAACACAGTTAGCTAGTGCATACAATTTGCTAAGGCACAAGCACAAGCAGTGACTCATAGTCAGCGTGCTCCAGGCAGGGTTGTGTCCCCTGCCAGGGACGAATCAAAGGTCAGGAGGGGCCAGGGCACCTCAGGGCAGCACAGATGTTGTCACCCTCTCTGGGGTTAGATGTTTTGGTGGCATGAAAATGAATCAGGCTTGGTGCTTGTCCTGAAAGCAAGAGAACTGAGCTTCYTGGCAAGTAGGTACATGTGAATGTTCACCATTGTCATGGATTCCTCCATTGTCRTCATGGTACTAGTTGTCTCTCAGAGCTCTTTTAAAGTTATTTCTTCCCAAGAGCCATGAGCAATTAAGGTTCCCGTTGCACACCCATTTCTCTCAGCTGAGATGTTCCAGGTCCCATGTTTCCTGCCTGAGTCACTCTTGCTTCTCCTGTTTAGAGCAGATTCCCAAAATACRCTCTGAATCCACTGATAAATAGTGAGCACTTCTGCTTTGAAGGAGGTGTCTAAAGACTTCCCTTGAAAGAGCAACCATATCCACTCCTTTCCAACAAACTCCTTCTGTAGTGTTGGAGAAAGGGAGCCTCAGGBGGATGGGGAAAGCAACAAGGCCCAGATGGTGCTGTCACCTTCTGTAAGCACTGAGAAATCCAAATCATCTGAGGAACCACCAAGCATTCTCTAAACTATCAAAGCCATCTGCTTTCAAAGAGAAACAAACTGGCACCCTGGTCATGAAGGGGCGTTAGTTTTCACAGTCAGAAAAAAAAAAAAGATGCTTTTTTACAATTTGTTGTTTGTATTTTTACAATGCAAACACAGATGCTTAGTCTAGTTGAATTATGAATCACTTTAAAATATTACTCTATTATTTCTTTTGTGCCACAAATAATCTTCACAGGGGGAAATATGTAATTGAAAGCATTGGTTTTTTATTTATGCACCATTATAAAAAAAAACCACATTTGCAGTAATGCAATAAAACATTCCATGTAGTAAGTCAGGTTACAGTAAATTTCTCCTTTAGTATATTTGAAGGTGTGAAGGCATATGGCTACAGTTAAAAGGATTTCATCTCCCTCTGGCTAAATTGTAAATTATTCACATCACTTTGAAAAACCCAGAGTGGAAGGACAATTATTTTCTTCACTTCCATGCTGGAGCAGCAGTAGGACTTGCACCGGCACACATTGAAATTCAGATTGTGTTTATTTTTGTTCTTACTGAAATACTTGCCTTTCAAGAAAAAAAGAATTTTTCAACAAGAAGTCTACAGATGTAACACAGTAGAAGGCTYTCCGCTGACTCCCTGCTAAACTAAATCAGTGTTAAAATGAAAGGCAGGTTTAGTCCCAGTCCTTTTCCATTCTACTTGTAGAGCAGGAACATGTCTTTCCCTTTTTTAAAAAGATGGAAAAAAAGGGAAAGACTCACAGGACTCTGTCTGCACTTCTTGTGCATATTTAATTTCCACTCAACTACATTTTCCTATTAAGATTCTCCTTCATTTCCTGCCTTAATTGTGTGATGTTTCTGTATGGACCACTCCTCAGCACAGCTGAAACCTTTCTCATCAGCAGGGCCTGACCTCAGCGTTTGATGAAGTGTAGATGTGGTGCTACAAAAGTGACTCAAAGGCACTCAAAGACTGTGAAATCCTGTTAGGTGGGTAGGTGGTCAGCAAAAGAGGACATGCACCTGTCCCTGTACCCTAGTTGTACAGTGGGACTGGCATAATATTTGATGCCATTCTGACCTGCAGCGGATCTTAAAAAGTGCTGAGTTTAGTGCAATTCTGCTTTAATGCAATTGTTTCATAATTCTTAAGGTTTAGTATTCGCAGCCATAGTTTAATTTATTTCCTGGAGCTTTAGGCTGAAGACCTTTAAAGACAGGGACCTCAATAACATATGCACTTCCGAATGGATGAATTAGAGAAAAATCACTTTGAGCTGTCAAGTTACATCAGAAACACCCCAGAACTGATTAAGCTGTAGAAATTCATATAGATATTAATTTGAACACCCTGGCTTTAACTCTTGGATCATGAAGATCACTGCCTATTTTTCTCTCATGTTTCTCTTCCCTTTAAAATATTTAAAATCATTTTATTCCCAGGTTCTGTCCAGCTTCAAGCCCTTATCTGCAGTTCTTTGACAGAAAAGAAATTGCCTTGCACTGTTTCTATTACTTTCATTTAAACATGTTCACAAAATACAGGAATACATGTCTCAGCTCTGTATGTAGATATGACTTCTACTATTTTTGAATACAAAAATTTTTTGATAAATCTTCCTGTTACATACTCAAAACGAGGGATGACTGATAGAGCATTATAATGAACGAAAAAGACCTCGAAAAACAGTACTAAGACATGGAAGAATTTGCACTGGGTGAATTTCATATACAGAAATGATAACCAGACTRCTGGTGTTATTGGTATATTGGTGCTAGTATTCTAGTTTGGCCTTGCACACTGCATCATGAATCACTCATATCACTTTTTAAAGAGTATAGAAAAGATCACAATGACAAGCTCAATTACTCGCACAGAAGTTGGATGAGAGTCTCTTCGGTGAAAGATGTGAATACAACCTTTTTAGTCATCACAAAAAATTGTTCCCTAGTATAGCCAGTCATAGCCTCCACAAGATGAGAGGTTATTAACTGAATCATAAACACTGAATTAAAATATTGGAGACTACTGGAGAACAATCCAGTATTACAGAGATCACAGTGTGCTCAGAGAAAAGAACTCCTACCTGAACAAAAATTCACACACAACAATTCCACTGCAGTGATCCCTGTTTAAAACGGGTGAAACAGAATACAGGATTAAATAATTAAAATAGCTATTAAATAAAAAACAAAAGGAGCATCTAAAAGTATTAAATGCTTATATATGACCAGATTATTTCTTAAAACATTGACGTTTCAGAGGAAGTGTGTATCAATTTAAGAATACTAAGAGATCAGAAAACTCTGAGATGTTTAAAGAGCAACTAAAGGAGGCAATTAGAAACGRAAAGAAAGAACAATGGAGAAAAGGTTCCAATGCCTGCAAGTCATATTCAAATATACTTTATGAAAAACAGAGGATCTGGCCATCGTAATCTAAAAACATAATACATAAGGATAGAAATGGCTTTGAGGAATACTCTACTAAATTATTTTAGAACTAAAAGCCTGCTACGTCTTACAGCTTACAGCTGTAAGGCTGATAGATAATCGAAACATTAAAAAATGCACTAAAGAAAAGACAGCAAGGCTGAAAATTATTTTTTCGCTTATGTTTTCTTCACAGGAAGACTTTTCTTCACATGTTGACAMGGAAACAACTCAGAAGAAGTGCGTTGTGAGTACAGTTCTACTTTCGGAGTACAGAAGTGAGAGTGAGCACATAGTTCTATGCAAATACTTTTTACTGCTCAAGAGAAGTAAGAACAAATAAACTATTAGGAAATGTTTTTTAAAAATAAATGTACCACTAGAGSACCTATTCCATTGCATAAGTAAGTGTTGTGTTCAGAACGATCCAAAGGCAGCCTATGGTTTTAGTCTCCCAATCCCCAAAACAAAAACTTGAAAAAGAGATGGAAGAAAGCAACAAGCTAATTCAAAGATATGGGACAGTCTCCATACCCATCAAAGAAAGATTAAGCAATCATCTCTTCAGCATGCAGAAGAGGTGACTGAAAGAGCATTATTGTTAATACCTAGGAAATYATGAATGTCACTCAGAAAGTGAAGAAAGAACATTTAATTATTCACTGTTTCTCTYGGAACAAGAACTGAGAACAAGAAGATGGTTTAAAAAAAGAGAAAGTGCTCTTTCACACAATGCATAATTAAAAGTAGATCTTGTTGTAGTGAGTGCTGTAGACACCAAAGTATAGCAAGGTTCGAAAAGCAACTTTAAAGACAAATTGCTCAGAGAATGCTCAACTGAAAAAAAAAAAAAAAAAAAAAAAAACAGGAGCTCCCTAAAATTCCATTAGCTGAAATATAATGGAGAAAATCTCATACATGTCTCATCATTTCTGTGTGCATTTATTAGTGGTCTTGATCACTAGGACAGACTGTGTGACTTCTGACTATTGTTCGGAAAGTATGGCCCCAAGAGGAGTAAAATGTGATTAGAACTCAAATGAAAACCTGGAACATATTGTCTCTTTCTCTATTGATTTTCTTGCTTTTCACTGAGCTTTGTATCTTTGAATTAAATCAGCTCGTATGAGGATTAGAATGTCAGAATGCTGTTGTATATAAACAAAATGGTAAAATAAAGGGAACATTAAAAGTGTCTGATAAACAGCAGTTCACTGTCAAGTTATCATATGTCTCAGGACTCGGCAAGGCTCTGTGGTTTGTCCTTTGGTACACTATATTCACAAATAATGTCACTATAATGAAACAGGACTCAATTCAGAGAAAAGTAATGCGGTCGTCTAGGAGCAACTCAGCTATGTAGGTGGATATTGACTGCACCTTCCTTCAAAAGGTTAGGGAGGAAAATAATAATTACTACAGATTTTTGCTTCTCTGAATTTTGAGAAAAGGCATAGCAGAGCTGTGCAATACATACCGTCTGGCTTTCTGTCACCATTGGTGCTGATTTGTAAAGACTGGCCTGCAAAAGGGAAATATATACAATATTGCACACAATATTATAGTGCTTATAGTAATGATGCAAGAATGTAACCCAAAAAGGTGTTTTCCTTGATGATAAATGGTTCTTGAATGACAGCAAAAGTAATGCATTCATAATTGTTATTTCAGCTGTGTTTTTCTGAAACATATTTAAAGAAAAGGTAAAATACATAGACAACAGTATGTTTAGGTACAGGAGCTTTTATCACTGATGCAGTGACATGCAACTGTGTGCAACTGTGTGAGGGTGTTGAAATATTAACATTCCCAGTTTATCTCTAGGTATAATTAAATAAGAATAGAGGTACTTTTTTCAAAGTGCAACAAATTTTCACTTTTTAATTGTTAAAGAATCTTTAAAGATTTTATGCTTAAAGTGGGTAGATCTCAATCATGTTGCTCAGAGCCTTATCCAGTCCAGTTTTGAATATTATCAAGAATAGCAGGAATTTCAGCTCTTTCAGCTTCTCCTCATCTGTAGTCCTCTTCAGCAAACTAACAATAACTGTTCAGATAAAAACAACTGTTTAGGTTTTTAAATATTGATCTGTTTCAGTTTTCTGGAAATTTCCAAGGGAGATTGGGAAGCACAAGTTCCTRAAGGTGATTTTGCAGGCAAAAGCACATAAATAAATAAATGTACATGGATGTAAGTTTGGTGCCTGAATTTATCCTGTGTAGATGTAAGTAGGGCAYAGTTTCCAGAGCTGGAGATCTGTATGTGAGTGGCAGCATTATATATTTTCTTTTCAAAGAGTATCTTGAAATCTTTTTGAAATCTTGAATCTTTTATTTCATTAAAAAATACTCTTCCAATCTCCTWTCTAATTAATATGAACCAGCACAATCTGCCAAGTAAAAATTACAGCATGCAATAAAACATGCATATCAGCACATTCAAGAAACAAAATTGAATTGATCAGTCAAGCATTGTGCTGGCATAAGACTAGAAGGTCTCTATTGCTTTTCCTGGCACTGCTTTGATATGAGGTTCAGTAGAAAGTCTGAATGATGCAGACATTTCTTACCAAATAACTGGCTGAGTTTTAAGTAGAATAGGGAACATGCAGTAACAGCTTGTGCTAGTCAGAATTAAAATGATAATTGAGTTTAATGTTTCAATAATTGACCTGATGACTTAATATAGAGAATTTCTGCATGMGCTTGAATGCATGTATATGTGACGAAATAGATTCAATTCATAGGGGCAGGCTGTGGGTTTTCAGAGAGCTCTACACCTTGGAAGGCAAAATTTGGTCAACCCCGGGTTTAGATTATCAATAACCAAAGGACTTCTGCTGAACCAAGTCCCCCACAGTTCAGACTAATCCATACAATTAAACCCCATAAATAGTCCAGCACATATCAGAGTGCCTGCACTGAGCTGAAAGCAAAAACCAACGGAAAAATGTAAATATCTATTTTTAAATATCAAATTCACATTGACAAAATTACCAATAGACACACACTGAAGAGGATATAGATAGTATGGATTTAGAACAATGGTAAAACACTTCAGTTCTCAATTGCCAGTGCTCTGACCTCTTCACCCTGTGCTAGTGACATGACATACCTCAYGTCATGAGTAGATGCCAGTCTGCTACATACTGGCTCCTCTAYTTGCAGCAGCAAGATCAAAAGTCATACAAAAACAGATATTTCTGAATTCAAAACATAAAGTCATTACAAAAGTACTTACATATCTGGTTTCACGTCCGGCTGCTCTCTGYAGAGTTGTTGACATCTGCATACAAAATCAAATATCAACAAAAAAAGAATTTAGGAGCAACTCAGAGAGATTTTCATAACTGTGACAAGTTATTAATAGCTCAAATTCCCAAAAATTTCAGTTTGAGTTTGCCCAGAAAGGTTCATGAGATATAAAATAATATTAAATTCTTCCTCTAAGTATTTATAGTTAAAATTACTATTTTATTTTTACTGCTCAAAAACGTGTCAAAATTTGATCACTCTCTTCTAAAGCTGAATTTTAAGTTATCTCTGAGGACATACACACAAAAATGCTATCAATAGACAGCCACATGAGATTTAACTTACATTTGCTCAGAAAATAGCCTAAAACTGATATTCTTTCAATTTCTCCTTTGCAAGAAATTGTTTAATCTGACTGTTCTACTAATACATGCTATTTCTAAGCATTCATATGTAGCATACTTTTTTCTTCTCACCTGTGACTCTATTTTATTCTCAGTTTATATGCTTTAATCACTTATTTTGAAAATTTTACAACCTTTAGTTTTGTAACCTACATGCATCCCATTAAATCACTTTTTCTTTTTTTTTTCTTTTTTTTTTTTACCTTTATTTGATTTACTTGTTGCTAAATAATGCTTTTCCATTCCAAGGGTCACTTTAAAGAAAGTTTTGGATGCTGTAGCTCAAAAGTCTAGCTTGTTAGTAGCATCTTAAACACGCTGAATTTGGTRTGGGAATGGAAGATTTTTCCCCAATACAAGTCTCTATCTCCTTTCTCAGCCACTGTCCTATACACCTCTTTCAGCTGCCTGAAGCCTGATTCATCACTGCACACTACCTGACAGAAATTATTCCAAAAAAAAAAAAAAAAACCTAAGTTTGAAAAGTATATAAAATCTACACACTAAAGGCCACTGCATCTGCATCCTATTTTTGCATTGTGGATTGGACATTTTATAGGAGATGTTGAGTTTATTGACTTGTAAAGGTTTTTGATGCATCCCTGTGCCAAAAGTCCCTTTCCTCCAATTTTCTCTTGGATTTCTGCCAATTTCTCTTTCCTGCAGCTCCTGAGACCAAATTAAATTTACCTGAGACAAAAAAATGTTATTGGTCCATCCTTTCTTGGTTGGTCATCCTTCTAAACCCAGAAGGCACACCAGTAGAGTTCATTTCAATCATAAGTTTAACACTGATATTGAAAGTTAGCCCTGCCTCTCACTGCCTGTTTCTGAGGTATTCAGGGTGAATCGATTTGAAAGACAGATTCTGCTGCGAGTGACCAGAGTTAAAAGGGAATCAACTTAAGAGCTTAAGGACTCAACTCAAAAAGGGAATCAACTTAAGGACTTTAGAGCTATTGAATCATTTGAATCATCACTATATTTGAAAACTGATACTGAGTATGAATAAAATTTTGTTCTGAAAGGTATTTTTCTATTACTGATTGCTYCTCTGTCATAATGCCACACAGATGGGACAAAATCTAGGCCAGAGATTCTGCACTACAGACGGAAAGGTATGAAACATTGCTTGCTCATGGATTCTAGCCTCTGAAACTCTTAATAGACAGCTTCTCTCTCATAATATGACAACTTCTGACTTTGGGAAATAACCTGCAGCAGAGATTGCAATGGCTTCAAGTATAAAGCTGTGGTTACAGTCTTTTAAAACACCAGGCACTTCCCATGGTGTTGCATCCTTTAACTGCAACTTTGTCTTATGTTTATGCTCATGATTTGATTGCTTTGATGACCACTCAGATTTTTTGGTGTACAAGTAATGATGTCATTCATTTACCTTGCCAACATCTGACTCCATGGTGGTCTGCAAGAAACTTGGAGAGGATTCACATCGGCGCTGAAAAATGATTTTCAACAGAGYACAGACTTCATCAATGACAAGCAGAAAAGAGAGCAATAGAAGAGGTGAGTCTCATACAGGTGGATTACCATGGGCAATGGATCCTGTAGGACCTGATCAATGACAGCACACAACTCTTCTGTTTGTTGTCGGAGTTGGGCAGGGGAGCACATCTGAAAAAGGAAGATACGTCACTCAATTAGCTTTCACTTTTTGCTTTCAGATATGTGAGAGAGATTTGGAAGAGATAAGAGTGCTACCTCTGAATGAGTGTCCAAAGTAACGCCTTTAGTCTCAGCAGGCTTGGATGGCTCATCTAATGCCTACATTCAGAAAAAAAAAAAAAAAAAAAATTGGTATTCCGAGTTCTAAATTAAACAAGCAAATTTTTGCAATATTACACTTTCATCTATGGATCTTTTCATTTGACCAGACCAAAAAAAAATTACAAATCTAGTAAGATTTATCAATTTACCATCCTTTCATCCTGATTCAGAGATTTTTTTTCAGGGAGAGTGAGAATTTCATGGAAAGTGAAGCTCTGTTTTTAGAGACCAGAAACTCTAAAGAGATTGGATTAATTTATCCTTTCCTTTGATAATGCAACCCCTCCATGTGTGCTGTGTGCCATGGAGGCAGTAGGTGTCTGCCTGCTACTCAGTCTTGGAGGAAAGCTGCTAACCCAAGGCAGGGAGACAAGACATGGGTCCAAAACTGGGAAGCCTCTTAGTTTCCTTCAATAGCTACTTTCTCTAAAAAGTGCCAAGTAATAGTGATTCCATGTGGCAACAAATGTAGTGCTTGTTTTTTTTATTTCAGTGCAAAATCAAATTTGGTTACAGTATATAAATACATACATGTTACAGAATGCTAAAACATGAGCAAGGCCTGAAGCAAGGATCTTACGCAGTGTCTATAAACTCTCCAAAAAAAATCAATGATTTCTTTGTCTCTGAATATATCTCCAGCCTTCCAACACCCACACTTGGAGCAAACTGGAGATCAGTGGTAATCAGTCCACACATCCTTTAGCTTTATCACTAAATTGGAACATCCCCAAGAGACAAACTTCACTTCAGTTCCCAGTCCCCTTTTCATCTTCTTCCAGAGGCTGTGAGGCGCACTCTCACTGCCATCACCCACTTTTGCTTTGAAACTATTTTCAAACAGACTCCATGCCGAGACCAAAAATTACCCTGGAGTCATGCTGGTGCCTGAAGCTGGGCTGCAGAGGAGGAACTGGCAAGCCCCTGCCATTTTTGTTCAACACATCRTGTTTTTCTGAAATTTCGTTCTATTAGTTATATGCAAAAATAAATGATAATAAGAACAACAACAACAAAAAAAAGAGTATTCCAGGAACACTGTACTTTCTCAGGCATGTGGGATTCTGTGGCAGCAAACTAATCTCAGTGTGGTGCGTATCAGGGCTGCCAATCACAGAGGGCATACACAGAGCTGAACAGAAAATTGCAGAATCCTTAACAAAAGCAAAATAAGCATGCAATGAAGTAGTTCTTTTTGAATGTAATTTTACTGAGTACAGTTATTTTCCTCCWTTTCTTGACCAGCTATTGACAGCACACCTCTAGGTATTCATAACTGGAAAGGCAGTGATAGTTTATCTTTGTTATTATTTTTAATATTACCCACAAGTAATTATGCCATCATAGAGGCACATTTATGGAACATCATGTTTTATATCAGAGAATGTAGTAAGAAAAAATTAAGAGGTAGTTTCTTCCCAAATGCATTTCTTCCCTCCCCTCCAGCTCTAGAGAAACCTGTGGCCATTAGAGTAGATATAATTCAAAAGACAAAGTTAAAGAATGCTGTAGGTCCTTAAAATCATTTCCGACATACATAAATCAATTTTATGTATGTCCTGAGACAGAAGATGAAGAGATTATTAATTTCTTTCTCATCTTAGCTATCTCACTGCTGCTGTCTAGCAAAATTCATAGGTCAGTGGATGGATCTGTAGAAGAGGACATTATGGAAGGCTCAATGCTACACTGGAGTATTTTGTCCCTAATTAAGATTTAATAAAATCCTCTTGGAAAACATAAAATGGCATTGTAAAATGTAAAATGAAGTGGAAGAGTCATTCCAGTTCTTATTAGGGCCACAATTCTTATATGAGATAATAAGTCTGACTGTGAATGAGAACAAAGAAACTATTTTACTAAGAAATTTTAAGCAGTCACACATTCAGAATGGAGAATTTGCTAAGCTTTTCAAAAAAAAAAAAAAAGAAAGAAAAACAGTAGTGAATATAATAAATTAATCATTGAGAGAAAAAGAAAAACCTTTTCATATTTGCTTCACCAAAACAATGGCAAAGGCTGAACACATTTGAAGATAGAAGCAATTAACCAGAAGCTACTAAGCAGTCTTTCTGTAAGAGTTATAGCCACATACACAAGTCTGTGTTAAGAACTAAGACTTTCTGGAGCTTGGGTATTTTAAGTACAAAATATCCATTGCTTTCAGTTGGAATTGGTATATCTTTTGAAGCCTACATTTGCAAAAGAACTCAGGTAAGTGCAGCAACAAGTTTCTGAGTTCAGTAGTTCCTCTGAAATGCTACCGTGATACACTGGCCATCCAAGAAAAACTTACAGTGTTCTTTTCCTTTTTAGAACCTTTGAGAGAGATTCGGAAGTGATCCATTTGGTTTCTTTCACTGTGTTTTATCTCTTATTTTCTTTGGGAACAGTCTAAGCCCTCCAAACAAAGAGAAGAAATAGAACTAGATTTCAGGCATAATTAGTRCCTCTACAAGAAATGGTTATGTTGGAACAGCTACATGCTGGGAGCTTTAAAAGGCAACTCAATATTTTTTCCAAAAGTGCATCCTTTTTACAGTAACACATAGAGAAAAATATAATATAAAGAAAAGCACTACTGGCATTTCTGAATTCATTGCTGGATTTATACAACAATCACAGAAACACAGAATCACAGAATCACAGAATCACAGAATCACAGAATCACAGAATGGTTGAGACTGGAAGGGACCCATAATATTATGATTAATTTAGAGTATTAGTGTTATTGGTAGTGCAGCTGATTAGTGCTATCAACAGTACTTTGCTCCTTCTGCTGACAGTCTTATAACACCAAAAACAGAACATTCCTGTTTACACATTCTTTTTTTTTTTATGTATGAAAAAGCAATAGTTGGACCACAATTTAAAATAATACTGTTATTTAGAGAATAAAATGTATTTATGACAGAATTTAAATGTGCAGATGAAATAGACTCTTGCTGAACTATTGATTTTATCCTTGCAAAAGGTAATTTTGGGGATGTGATGCATCCATGCCATTGACATCAGTGATGACCATAATGCCTCCTCCTCCTCCTTCCTCCAAGCTTTTTGATTGCTAAAGCTCTATCAGACCAGAGATATGACTGGTAAAAGATCTGAACAGAGTCTGCAATATTTTGGTAAAATAATGAAAGGTTTTGACAAAATGTAGAAAAATATGTGAGTTTTCCATTCATCAGTGAAGCACATCAATCATAGGAAAAATAATAACGAAAGGTGGATCTGCCACATCTTCCTTCTTACTGTGTGACTCACAAAAACCCTTTGCTGGGCAGAGCATAGAAAGTTTTTCTGTCTTATTTCTCTTGCATGTTTTTCCCATCAAAATGTTTTCCCAAGCCCTCAGCACATGAAAAAATTACTTCTGTGAACTTTGCTTACCGTCAGTTCCCTTAACTATTCCTCAAAGGTCATGGGAAATTCTACTGAAAAAAAAAACCTGACAACTTTTCCTCTTATGAACTATTTAATATTAAAAGCTACTACACCTTTATAAGAAAGAGGGAGTTTAGAGCTTGCTCCTACATTGGCAAGCTCTGAGATTGTTGCAGATGAACGACGTACAACTAAAGTCATCTAGGACTCCCCAAATGATTGCCTTTCCTTCTTACTACTAGGCTTTGCTCTCAAGACTCCAGTATGCAAGAAATTCACAAATTCACAAAAATCCTGCAAGAAATTCACATGCACACAAGAAGTAATTGAGGAAGAAATCAATCTATTATCAAAATATTCTTTACAAAATGTTATCAGAAAATGCATTTCACTCTTTTTTGGTGAAAAATAATTCATTTTTCACAAAAATAATTCATTTTTCTTCTGCATAAGGAGRAAAATGCATTTCAGATCCTCTGCAGTTTTGATGAAGAAAGTACACCAAACTGGCATCCAGTCTTCTGTTTAGATAACGAGATGCAGTTCCTAGGTCTTTGAAGCTTTTATGGAAGTGTAAAGTCATCTGGCAAGACTGTTTGAGACTGACTTGAAGTTAACCAAATGGTAATTTGGCAAGGGAAAAGATGAAGCCCAGCCACAGAGAAACAAAATCAATGATGCGACTTATTTCTTCATTAAGATGTCTTTTTTTCTTCATTTTATATAAACCTGAAATCACAATAATCTATTTGTTCTTAATTAATAAATTCAAGCCTGATYAGCCAATACTGCTTTCACTTGACTCCTCCACCCACAGCTAGTTATACCTAATGCTTTTAGGAGCCTTAGTATGCCTGGGGTGGGTCTAGGCTGTGAGTCAAGYGTATCTTGTGGCACACGGTGTCATCCTGATTTTACCACAGTCTAAATCTGGATGATCTTTGAGCAGACCATCAAATCCCCACCACTGCATGCCCAGGTTTCCTTAACATCTAGGTGAGAAGATAGGTGGGATGACAGATSGGACAAGGGTGGCAATATCTGGTTCTCCTGCAGAGTCCTCACATTCATTGCTCAGAAAGATCTTTTTATTTGTAATACTTCCAAGGCATACAGTGGAATTTTGAGATTACACCTTAAAATTGACATAATTCTGAAGAAAAAGCAGGAGCTAGTTAGGGGACCATATACTTACAGTTAAGAATTTATATCAGTTCCATGAAATAGATCCTTCATCATTATCCATTTAGAATGAAAGATATTTCTACAGACATTTGATAGAGACATTCCCTAAATGATATTACATTTGAAAAAAAAAGGAAATAATACCTCATTAGGCCTGGAATTTTAAATGTTTTTTATTTTACATAGATATATATAAATCTATATATGAAACATTAAAGAGTGAATGCCAGTAGGGGGGTGACTCACTGATTCAACACTACCAAGCTTCAAAGGCTCCATAATGTCACGTAGTCTGACCCTTTTTTATAAACCAGAGAACTACCTGKAATTACTGTCCAAAGTGGCAGAAAAGTGTTCTGTCTTGATTTTTCAAGGTTTGTGACATGGAGCTCATTTCAGTCTTAAAAAAATAATGCTTAATTAATACTTCCTGGTTATTTTTGTTTTGTTTCGCTTTGTTTTTGTTGTTTTTTGTGTGGGTTTTTTTTTTTTTTTTTACTTTATTCCCTGATTAAAATTTTTCATATTCTTCTTCTAGTAAGAGATCCTATTGCCTTCAGGGCTGAAGTATTCATTATCATAATCTTATCCTGTGGCCTGAGAGCATAGTTAGCCAAAATCAGCCTTTTAGCTACACTTCAAGATCCTCTTCACCCACAAAAACTATTYAATCTTTTCAAGGACAGATTTCCAGGACAGAATTTCCTAACCTGTGAGCATAGCCTAATTTCTTTCTGACATTGCATGAACAAATAGGTTACTCTCATTTATTGATCAAAGGCATAATATTTCTCAAGGGAAATGCACRATTTCTGCTCTGTGCGTAAGAGATGCATGTCCATTTATGCTGGCTTTAAGAAAGCCTTGAAGTCTCTTTATTAAAGGGAACACATCTGAAAAAAAATCACAATTTATTATGGCTTAACCAAATTGGATAGATAAGATTTTGGATGTCAGTTTTCTATCATGTGATTTAATTCATACTGCAAAAGTATTGTCATCCTGACCTTGCACATTAGAGTTCTGATCTTTTCTCAATACAAGTCAAGTTAATATTATTATATTAATTAATTCATAGGGCTGGTCACGAGTAACAATTAGAAACCACTTCTTCCACTTAAGCAGTAGGAAAGCACTGACTTCTGAGAATGTGCTTTTCCAGTTCAGCTGCATAATAGCAGCATAATATTCCTAACCATGCAATTCAGTAATATCTGTGCATTGCAGAACTGCCTTCCTTCCTAAAAGAAAGATAGTTAAAAACTTCTTCTCTGAATAGCCTTTATCCCCAAATTACATAGTAATATATCATTACTTATGTAATGATACATAAGTTAAAAACATGTCATCTGGAATCTCTCTCTCTCTCTCTGATCCAATGTTTGCACAAAATTTCAGCAACTCAACTACTGTCATTCAGCTATGGTATGGCAKGAGTTCCTTCCCAGTTCTCTCCCGTCATGCCTGAACAGAATACTTGGATAAAGCTTAGTATAATGGAGCTTGTTTGTGCCCTTGATAGCCCAACTCTTCCTTTAAGAGCCATTCTATAAAGATAAATCAGCTAACTCAATTGGATTAGTTTAGGAGTGGTCTAATTAGCTGTCAGTGTGAATCAACAGATTAATCCATCGTCTTCAAGATGAGAGAGAGAGAAGGAAAGGGTTGTACACCAGAATTACCCCAGTCTCCCATGGCATTACCATAAATGTTCCTTTGGGAGAGAATTTTACTGACTTTTTGAAATAGAAATCCATATTAGTGAAGACTATGATGTCCAATAAAAATGCTTGACCTTAAAAAATCATTCACATTATAATTCTGAGCAGTTCGCTTGCAGAGTTTGTGTTCCACAATACCCCCAGCAGAAGCATCAGAATATGTACATAAAGAAGTCGAACAGTCTCAAATATGTAATGTAATTTCCATGTCTTCAAGCAAACACTAACCTTCTGTTCCATTAGTAATGTGTTTGTAGGGATTGCTGCAAATGCCTTGTAGCTTGTCTTGATCTTGTACTGCTAAAAGGGGTAAACCAGAAAGTGGGAAAAGAAGTAAAAAAGGACAGAAGAGGCAGAGGGAGAGACAGAAGAAAGGGGAAGGTATGACAGAATGAAAGACGATTGTAATTGTCTCACAAGCATCTTGCAATGATATAATGTTTACAGATTACTTGGAAAGGTTATATTAACCTAATGTTTCTGTTCAGATTTTAAAGGCCTATTACACACAACTTTTGTATTTAGAAATGAAGTGAAATCTTTGTACCATTTTTTTTCATAGATTTTGACTGCTTTCTACTATTATCCTTGAAGGAAAATCAGGATAGGCTATAGGGTTTTCCTAAGTGTGCTCATGATTTGAAATGATAACACAAAGCTGCTTCTGGTAGTACCTGCACCTTGAACTGCTGCAATACCAGGTGTCCCTGAGATGCTGAAATCAGAGGCTTTTCTGCAGCTAGCTTAGAGAAACTGATTCAGATCTTTATTTTCTGACTTACTTATATTAGTGGAAAGATCATTTAAGTCATAGGGTACTGCCTTTTACCTCCTGAATAAGTAAATCTACTACAGAAATATTTCAAGACAGCTATAGAAACTTTTATAGTGCAACAGCTGTCCAGAGCTGACAAGTTGCGCCATATAAAGTATATGTTTTGGGATGCAAAAAATCTGAGATCAGGTTAAAACATTAATAATTTTAAACAATTTACATTTCAGACTATATTACTTTGCCCAGCGATTTCTAACTCTACTTTACAAACTCTACTTTTTCTAACTTTCTAACTCTACTTTTTTATGATTTCTAACTATACTTTTCTCCTTTGCAATCATAGGTTATAAATTCAGTTTAAGTGAGCACTGAGATATTTCTAGACTCTTAATCACATGACGGCTGGAAATCTTTCTCTTGTAAACAGTTAAATATGTATTTGTAAGATGTTTTAACTTTTATGCAATATCCCAGTGAAAAACTTTGGTTTTGGACTATTCTAATGTTAATCATACTGGTTTAGGAACTAAACAAAGACATTAAWCTATTAAAATGTAAGGGTTAATATTCTGCTTCAATTTACCTTAGCACTTCCATGTACTGTAGAACCTGCAAGCAATGTGCAGTTCTCAAAATAAAGATAATTTAAAATTAATGGAAAATAATTAATTAAATAATTCTTTTATAGGAATTCATTTCTTGACATGCTATTTTGCCATTCTTGAAATGATTAGCATCAATAATTTAGTTTTCTTTACTTTGGTATTTATTAACCTGAATCTGGTTACATTCACATGGCAATCAATAGAAAAATGTTCACTATTGCAAAAAGCGGAAGATTAGTCCCTTTTAAATCTTGTTCAAACTGTCTTTGTGGATTGGCACTGATTTTTGGAACCACAGGGGCACATGCAATTAAACGGAAACTGTATTCCTTTCATCTCTTTCGGCAGCCTAAGTACTGGCACATAAGTATAATCAATACTCATAAATCATAGAATCATAGAATAATAGAATCATTAAGGTTGGAAGGGACCTTTAGAGATTATCTAGTCCAACTCCCCTGCACCYCGGGGTCACCCAGAACAGGGGGCACAGGGCTGCGTCCAAGCGGGTTTAGAAGATCTCTAGAGAAGGAGACTCCACAGCCTCCCTGGGCAGCCTGTGCCAGGGCTCTGTCACCCTCACTGTTAAGAAAATTTCCTTCAAATTCCTATGGAACTTTTGGTGCTTTCCTCCAGTTCTATCGCTGGCCACCACTGAAAAGAGGCCGCCCCMTCCTCCTCACTGTCTCCCTTGAGGTATTTGTAGACACTGATCAGGTCCCCCCTCAGCCTYCTCTTCTCCAGGCTGAACAGGCCCAGCTCTCTCAGCCTTTGCTCATATGGCAGATGTTCCAGGCCTCTGATCATCCTCGTAGCCCTGCGCTGGACTCTCTCCAGCAGCTCCACATCCCTCTTGTACTGGGGAGCCCAGCACTGCACACAGTGCTCCAGATGTGGCCTCACCAGGCTAAGTAGAGGGGCAGGACCTCTCTTGACCRGCTGCAGACACTCTTCTTAATGCACCCCAGGATCCCGTTAGTTTTCTTGGCCACGAGGACACTTGTGGCCACCATGAGGCCGAGGTCCAGAGCTGCTCTCCAGGTCAGTCCCCAGCCGGTACTATTGTCTGGGGTTATTCCTTCCCAAGTGCAGGAAATAATAAAATACTCATAAATACCAATAAAACTCAAAACCTGCAATTCTATCCATAATAAAGACATTACTTAGTTAGCCGTTGAAGCTATTCTTTAATAATGCAGATATGCTGCATGTAATGTTAAAGCACTGTACTTTTCAGGACCCAGGAGCCAATCACCCATGTGTTCTTCAATGCCTAAATATACTGATTAATCTGGTTCCTAGGAATACAGCAGYATTTTTAAAGGTCCACAGAAAGTCATATCTGCTGACCTGCACTATGGCACAAACAGCAAAAAGCAACTCGACAGCTAAATCTGGGGCAAATATCAAGCTGGGGAGTTGTTGCAAAAAATGTCCTATTTGCTGTGCTCAAATGAGCATTAATGACACCCACAGGGCATTTGTACTGAGTGTTAGACACAGACCTATAAAGGCTTAAAAGCAGCAACCAACCATGCCAGTGTTGAGCTCCTCATGACTAATCTTTCCTGCTTTGTGGTAGGTTTAGCAGCTGTGCTGAGCTGTTGCTACAATTAGTTTGTTCACAAGCTAGTTTGAGCAGCTCTGTATGCACTCCTGTGTTAAAGTTAATGGGAAAAATCAAATAATATATAGGAATGAATTCCCATTTTTTTAAAGTGCAACACTGATAAACATAAATGTCCTAAAATATAAAGCATCTGAAAGTATATGTATTTACATATATACACAGATACAAATACTTATATAAGTTCATAGGCTATTCTTTAGTTTCCATGACCTTGCACAGGTTTAGACATCCATATATAAAAGCTCTCCATGAAAGAATCCTTTTTGCAAGCCATGTGAAAACATAATTGCTTTGACATTGTGCTAAGGATACAGTTATGTGAATGTTGAAATGTACATTCAATGTCAAAACTGTGGTTTGAAAGATTCTGATTTAATAGGTGCCTTTTTAATGTTGCCTCAACAGTAGTTGAAGCAGTACTAAGGTTGTAAAATTACACATGCAAAAGTCAAGCATTTTTAGATGTTAAACTTTTCCCTTGACATTCGCTTGGCAACACTGTGCACACAAAGATTTTGTCAAGCATCAACAGCCATCTGATGGAGCAACTGGCTCCTCATCTAGGAATATACTGAGATTTGTGATTGCAGAGTAAGCAGAGGGTCTGATAAAATTAACAAATGAGCAAAACAGAAGTCTGTTGCACTCTTTCATAAACTATGCATGCAAACAAATGAGAGCAGAAGGAAAGGGGAGTGTTGACTGCATGCTGTTAAAAACTATATCATCTCACAGCCTCATATTTTAAAGCCAAAAGGGACCTGCAGTGACCTATCCTGACTGCATTTGATTTAAAGGTTTCAGATCTTTTACATCCCCAATAAGCTTTGGCTATATGATTAAAAATTGCACCAGATGGACATTTCAGGTCTATTAAACTACTGAATGTTCTCCCAATCTCAAAGGGATAGTGGGTTTCAGTGTCACCAAAGAGCACAACTAGCAGGAAAACTGACAGGAGAGAGGGCAGAAAGGGAGTCTCTGCAAAAATAAATGTAAGCAGTCTATGTGTGTGTTATGTGTCACAGCTGGAGCTGGAGTAATTCAGACCTTCCTTCACCAGAGTCTGGCAGTGCACCATGCATTGACTGTGGCAGAAAATGCAGCTACCCTTTGCACACTGCAGGCTCAATTGTCTGTCAACTGCCTCACAATTTTGTCTCAGAGACTTTTTTTTTCCTTGGAATTTCTACAATTTCACTTTTCTTTTTATTTCATTGAGTAATACTGACAGGGTGTAGTGACACGGTGCAGCTGCGCGTGGTACAATGGTTCCCTTTGCATTGTTTATTTTATTTTAAAGAACCATTTTTGACAACTGCTGCTTTGTACTGATTTAAGCCTCTCATTTTCAATTAACATTTTCCAAGCACTTCAAGTCACCCCTACCATGACAAAGCTGTTAGGAACACATCTGACACAACTTGATCTGGCAGACCAGGCTGTACATTTGTGCTGTTACCAAATAAATCAATAATCTATGATAGGCTTTCTGTGCTGGGTAGCGCGCCCTGTCTGCCAGAGGAAAGTTCAGATATTAGCAAGAGGAAACATAAAGGGAGCAGAGGYAAGACAGAGGAAGCTGGAAGGCTTCTGCAGCTTGGCTGTCTTCTGCCGCCATGCCCTCCTTCATGGACAGAAGTTCCTCCTGCTTTCAGAGACCTATCTATCTAATGCGTATTTTTACCTGCTTCCCTTTCCTTCCCCTGCACATTCCAGAATTTTATCTTTACATTTAAAACATGGCTGGAGCCCAGGCCCTCCTGTAGCCGTTGCCATCATTGCTTATTCTCACCCAGCTGGGACCCCATTCCTTGTGGATGACAAGCAGCAGGAGCGTGGCTCATTCACCAAGTGTGAGACGTTTGTATTTGCAGTAGCACATGTCATTGGAAGCTTGTGGTTTGGGCTGTTTTTTTTTTTTTGCTTTCTGCCTAGCACAGTATGAGAGCAGCACTGAAGCAAGTCAGTACTTGGCTGCCAAGCTAGGGTAAGATCAGGCAGAAGGGGGGCAGCCACGTGGCCGGAGCAGGGTGGCTGAGAGCTCAGAGCTTYGCCAGCGATGCCTCAACCACCTCCCACAGCAGGATACAAAACCAGGGGATGCAAAAGCTGAGTATGCAAAGCAGAGCACCTGATGCGGCTGAGCTTGGCACTGAGAGAGGAAGAACTGATGAGAGGTCCCATTTGAGCCACCTTCAGGGCAGGGGACATCACTGAGAACAGGCTGGGGTTGCCACTACGGCTGATATCATAGCAGCCAGTTTAAGTAGATCAGCTGCTTCTAACTCAGCCCTGCTCCTAAAAAATCACCATATTTTCACTATTTCCAGTGGGAATGCATTACCTTGGGGAGTACAGAAAATGTTTTATGGTTTTCTTTTTGGCATATTGTTGTATTAGGTGAGCTTCAAAAATAATAAAGTGCATGAAATGCATTTAAAGCCAGTAGACATAAATCTGTCTACACTAATATCTCCTTACCCTGACTAACAATGTATTTTATTTTTATGCTAAATCATCCCTATCATTTCTCTTCCGTAATGCAGAACATGTTGCTAGCAATTCAGTACAGTGGCATTTAAACTCTTGATGGTTCCTTTTTTAAAATTTTTGCCTAGCTCATTCATTTTTCTATTATTGTGCAATATGGGTGTCATTTTTTCTCATGGAGACAAAGCACTATTAGAAAATAAGCATGCACTAAGAGTACCTTGGGTTTGATGTTCTCATTGTCAGAAGGCAGGGAAAAGGATTGTGGTGAAGTCAGCTCTCTGGGTCTTGATAGCAGTGTGCATGGTGAGTTGTCTGAGACAGGAGACCTGCACTTTAGTACTGGTGAGGTGACAGACTGCTTGGGACTTGGAGAGTAGGAATTAGATCTATAATTTGTGCGTCTTGATGAGGAAGTAAGCTGCAGTGGCTGGGAATGAATACTATAACTCTGAGGAAAAGGTGAGGCAGTATCAGGCTGAGAGGAGGATGAATGCTTTGAGATATTTAAAGAGGTAGGAGAGGAGGCACTCAGCTCTTGATTAGACCTGTGGGATGAATTTGATTTAGATCTGGAAGTCGAAGGTGAAAGACTTGGGGAGGGAGATGAGTCCTTCTCCAGAGTGGGAGAGACCATGCCATTCTGACCAGGAGAAACAAGTAGAGGATACGACTGGCAGGTAAAGATGGGTGAGTAAGTGTGCACCCTCTGCGACTTCTGAGGTCCTTGGGATGTGGAGAGCGGATAAAGCATCTCTTCTGGAGGACAGGGAGATGAGTGTTTCAGGGCACGAGGAGACATGGCAGAGGCAGACAGCATAGGCTGTAAACGTAGAGATGCAGTTGATTTTCTGTGGGAAACAACAGGGGATGACAGAGGACTTAACGAGTCTGGAGAAGGCATTTTGTGGGAAAGGTGCTTTTTTGGGGATGATGACTTAGCCCGAGGGGTTGCGTGAGGTTGGGAGGATAAGGACACATGGCGAGAGAATCCCGAAAGCCAGCTCTCCTCCCTGCTTGGAGAACCAGGCCCAATAGAAGGACTTGAGACATATTTCTTTGGGGTTGGTGGAGTTGTTTTGAACTTCTGATCTATTGCGAGTGTTGAAGAACCAAGGGAGCCAGGAGAAAATGTAGGGCAGGAAGCAGGGGAGAGTGGTCTTTGCTGAGAAGAGCCCGACCTCAAAATAGCTGTTAAGAGAGTCAGCCTGGTTGGCAGAGGGGGTTTAACTCCTGATTTTACTGGATTTCCTCTAGATGACATTTGTGTGCACGATTCGCTCACACTAGCTATGGTTGAAGTGGAACCATAAAGAGAGGGTGGGGACAAAGGTTTAGGGCTAGGGGATAATGAATGTGTTATTATGTGTACAGGGATGGGACTCAAAGCATTCAATCTTTTGGAAGATCTGGGAGATAAAGGCTGAGCAGACGATGCTTGAATTTCAGCTGAATATGGAAGACCTGAGGAGGGACTTGGACTTTTTAATGGRACTGAGGACTTGGTGAATTCCCTTGTTTCATAAATACAGGCAGAGGTAGAGAGACTTGGTGTTTGTAGGTTATTATATAACTGAGAACTGGAGTAACAACTGTTTAATGCAGAAGTGGATATATTAGACATGGAAGGAGGTGGGCTACGGAAAGCAGACTGAAAGTAGAGAGATGAATCTTGTTTAGAAGACTCGGTTGGTGACTGCCAGCTCYTATGGGAGTCTTCCAGTGAAGAGGCTTCATTCAGGTTAACCGTGTCACCACACACTACTTTCGGATTAGTTGGAGAAATTAAGTGGAGAGCAGGCGTTTTAGAGGAAAGATGATCAGAGGTAGAAAGAGTAGAAACTAACTGGAGAAAAAAGAAAAACAAAAATGTTAGCATAGATGGACTCTGTGGAACTGTTAAGCATGCCACATCTCACTTCTGTGGCCATGCACATGAAGTATTCATTAGTACTGTTCTGTGTGCTGAAATCAAAGGGCTGTCTCAAGCTAAGTGATACAGCCTAATGGATAACTCTYTCATGGGAGGTGACAGAGCACAACCAAGTTTTGGGTCACTTTATTTTAACAAGATTTTTGTTTACATGATAGGAGCAGGGTTCAAGGCTGCTGTATTTTTTATTTTCAGTGAMAAACAAGACAGCCATGCCATCAGTGTCCCAAACTCCAACACCACTTATATTGTGTGAACATAGCTTCAGTTAGGTACTATCATCCCATTTCACTGTACCCGCTCAGCAGAAAGTAGCCCTTCTGTAAATGAGATTCAAGTGCTCATTTTCTTATTCAGTAAACAACACCTTCTGCAGCACTGTGATATCAGAATGAGAAATTTTCTCAGAAACTGCTTAAATCAGAAAATGCAGTTTGCTTCTCATTCTTCTTGTCATTTATAGAACAATGTGACAATTTAAAGGCAAATAAGAGCCTTTGTCCCCTTCCCGCTGTCTTACAGTACAATAATAAAACAGTAATTAGCTCTTTCATGAGTGCCTTTTTTCTTACATTTGCCCTAATTAGGATTTGGCAAAACTAATTAGAGTATGCAATTATATTATCAACTCTTGCATAGTTTTATACTTTTGAAGAAAGCAATTATTTCAAAATATTCCAAGTTATTATAATACAAAGGTTAAAAACTAAGGAATATACAATTTGAATAAAGTATATCAATGTGAAATAGTGTGCTAGGTTGAACTTTAAAAATTGAGAATCTACAAATTATTAGCCAGCTTTTGACTGAGCAATCTGAAAGCAGGGAAATTGACTCTATTCCCTACAAACTTCATGTGAACAGAAAAGTATCTATTATCCAACACCCTGAAATGACACTCTGTAAAACATTMTCATAATATCCAGTCTTCACATACATGACTTGCATATGGTTTTGGCTTAAGTAATAAATCCTGATTTWTACACATAAGAATCTGCTTCAAGAGAATGAAGAATTACTATAACTTGATATCAGCATGTCACAAAACAGAAACAAGTACCAAACATATTTATAATTCTCAAGTGACAGTGAAAACATGCTGGAAGAAGCTGTGACAAGACAAGACATCCAGGTTTTTAAGGACTAAAGGGAACCCAAAAGCTTAAGTTAAAGGAAACGCTAAATATGCACAGCAGAAACCTGTTAACCCTTGTAGCTTACAAGTGAGTTCTTGCTGATAAATGATACCATACAAATTGCAGCCCTTGTAAACTGAGGAGATGCTTTTATAAGACGCCATCAAAAATACCAAGGGATTGCCTTCACTTATTGCAGTAAAAGCCATTTAATCTTCCTCAATCTGTATCTCTGATAAGAAAYCTTAAACTTAAAGCATTAAGCTATACACAAGGCAACATTAAGGTTGTATAAAAATAAATGTGTGTATCATAATATATATTCTCCTAGACTGAAAAATTATCACTGTTGTTGAAAAAAATATGCTCATACAAAATAAAGAGAAATACTGGATATTATTTGAACGTAATAGACCGATATTTAACAACTACTGAAAAGCATTATTTGATATGTTGTGAAGTATAAAGTTATTGAACAAGTTAAAAAGGAGGAAGGTAATATTTCTGATAAATTGGAGCAGTCTGATGAATTTTAATAATGAGTGCTAGAAGCTCATCAACTACCAAAACAAAATTGGAGGAGGAAATCTCTGCATATGAAAATGGAATAGATAAATTTCCCATACAAAGGCAGTGGATTAAAAAAAAATGAGAATGAGTATCAATTTCCAGAATGAAAGGACAGAAGATGAATGGACTTATAACTTGATAAAACTTAATAAGAAAGATTTAATGGCAGCTAGGAATAGTTTCATGGTAGCAGATGATAACTATGCTCCTGGAAGAGCACACATTTTTCTGTAGTCTTTTTCTAATTTAAATACTATTCAACATTTATGTGCTGAACTAATTGGACTGTTATTCAAGTCTTCTAAAAACATTTTGCCACTATTTTGCAATGTTAACTACACGTGTGAGCAATCATTCTCTTATTTACAGAATCATAGCAATGTTGGTGTGAAGTGACTTCTAGGCTCATCTAGTCCAGCCTCCTACTCACAGCGATGCTATCCCTGATGACAGCCTGTCATGGTGGTGTCTAGCCAAGCCTTAGAAGCCCCTAAGGATGGTGGTCCTCCCACCCCTTGGGGCAACCTGGGAGGTCACTTACCAGAAACAAATCCTTGTTGCTCTGACACCTACTGAGGAAGCTTTTCCTAATGTCCAGCTAGGACTTCCCAAGCCTCAGTTCATGACCACTGCTATTTTGCCTACTACTTTGGAAAAGATTTGGGCTCTGCCATCTCTCCTTCCTTCAAGGCATTGCAGGCTAGATACCTCTTTAGCTACCTCTTTGCCACARTAAACAGCCCATCTCCCTCAGCCTTATCTCACAGATATCCCTGGCCATATTGGCAGCTTTGTGCTGGATCCTCAACAGTTCTTTGAACTGGGGAAAAGAAAGGCAGACCTGGCACATTATTGCAGATGGGAACTCACCCATGATGAGTAGATGGGATATAACATCTTCCCTTGATCTGCCAGTCAAAACTCTTCACAGATAGCAGTTTACTTCATTTGTGGTGACAACTYACTTCTGTTCACCTCCAGCCTCAACCACAACCCTCAAGTTCCTTTCAGCTTGTCTGTTGCACAGTCCATTACTTTCCAGCCTGTACAGATGCATGGGTGTTTTTGTGTGTCCAGGTGCAGAACTTAATACTTCTCACTGCTTACTTAATGAGTTCTGTTCACCCATTTCTCAGTGTCCCTCTCCTCTCATCCACTGATCCTCTCAATCACATCAGCCAACATTCTCAGCACCCTTGAATGAATCCCATCCAGTTCCATGAATCTGATTATGGCCAGCTTCTCTAAGTGTCCCCTAATCTGTTGCTCTCCCACTGCTGGTTGCCGCTCTTGGCTCCAAACTGATAAATGAGGAGGTGTGGAAACCAGCTTTGCAACAATCCCCATCCAAAAAAAAAAAAAAAAAAAAAAAAAAAAAAAAAGTAGCCACATTTTCCCTGAACTTCCTCTTAGTTTCTTTCTTCCACATTTTCTGCCTTAGCCAGGCAGTCTACAATATCCTCAGTATTATTTCTCCCTCTGTCTTGGCCTAGAGACTCTCAACAGAAATGTCTCCTCTTTCTAGCTGCAACTCCACACTGTCATGAAGTTCTAACACAAGGTGCAACTCCATTTCATCTACATCCCTGCTCATCCATCCTCTACCAACATCCTCTACCTCAGGCAATACATACATACTATCCCATGTCTTTTTAACTACCTCCATTACATTTACAAAAAATACTAGRCTTTTTAAAAGACTTTCATTTCCCAAATTCCTGCTTTTCTTCTTTGTATACCCATTTACCAGGTGTAAAGGGCCATCTCATAGGCATGGAAGGACACAGAAGATGCTCCTGAGATGGGCTGATAAAACAAGAAATGGGCTGGTGAAACAAGAAAAGTATGTAAAACTAGTAAAAGTAGATGCCTAGAAGGTAAAAATGTGTGTTGGAGAGGATCCAACTTGAAGAAGTCTATCCTGGTGCCTGTTATCCATGCTTTGGTCTCAGTAGAATTTGATTATAGAAGGGAAAAAATAAAGTATTTTCCCTACTTCAACCTGCAAATTGAGAGCCAGAGAGACAAGATGTTGGAGATTGGGGAACTCATAAACATCATCATAAAATATCTGAGCACAGCACTGTAAATCAGATTGAGCAGACCCAGTTATTATAGATGCCAGCCATAATTGTACATTTTTTACCAAACTACTGAGGTCTGTAGTAGTTTGTAGAGCTTGACTGATTTGTCTGGAAAAGTCAAACCAGATGACAGGCACTGGACAAAGAAATGTACTGATCACAGAATCACAGAATATTCAAGGTTGGAAGGGACCTCTAGAGATCATCTAGTCCAACCTCCCTGCTCATATTTCAATAAAGAGAAAGTCAGAAAAAGTAATAACTGAGAAAACATCGAATAAGAATCAGAACAACAATGATGAGCATAAAAGTGTCCTTACCTTGTGAATACACTTGAAGATATTTAGAAAATAAAGATAGAGCAAGTCCTAAGGATTTATGACTTACAAATTAAGGAGAGAGATACATCAGCTATACTGTATGCTACTTCACTTCACTTGCAGATGAATCATTATTAAATACATATTTTAATTCCTTGTTCAGTGCCATTGCATCTGTATTTTCTGTTATATAATCAAGAAAATCTCTGTTTACTTATCAAGTCAGCAAAAAGTTAAGATATGGCATATATAGATATATATATTTTGTTCTGTATGGTCTTAAAAAGAAATCCACCAAACTGTTACAGTGGCTTTTAAAAGCTTTTTTAAAAACCCAACTAAACCTTAAGAAAATTTTCATCCTGAAATCTCCAGAAGTAAATTTGTATTTTTCTGAGACTCTTTCAAAGCCTGCTTCTCCTAAATAGATATATTTCCACTTACTAAATTCTTACTGACTTTGTTGGGAGTTTGAAAGAATATATGAATATTTCATAATGTTGTGTAGCTGAGAACAGAGCATCTTTCTCATTCAGAATCTCCTAAATCAAAACTGGCACTGTGAATTTGATAAAAACATTGAGTAACACAAGCATTTGAGCACATGACAGAAAATCATATTCATTTTCAGAAACAAAGTAAATGTTCTTTGTTTTYCTTAAAATATCATTGCAGAATTGCATTTTCAGCTCCAGGGAAATTCCACCTAGGGCAAACAAAATGCCTGAATCTACTCCATGTGCGAAAGATTCTTCTATTTTGCTTAACAGAGAGTTTTTTTGACCATATGTGCACCCCAAGGAAAGGGTATCAATGCCCTCTCTAAAATGTGAGCGTTAGCTTTTTACACAGGTCATCAGACTCATACATCTTCTAAACGAAACATTTCTAAGATTGCTTTTTGAATTTTCTCTTCTAGGGAATTAAATCTGAGGTTGTATGTCCAATATAGATCAAAAAAATAAAATAGATTTTTCATCTTCGTTAGTCCTTTACACCTGTGCATAATCAGTGCTAACTAGCAGTTAAAATAATAGGATTTTGCAGCCTCTCTCTTCAGTCTAAAGGGCTGCACCTGGTGCTGAGAAAAATGCAGGCTTGGGAAGCCAAATTCTAATAATTCAGATCATTTTTAAGCTCCATTGATTTCAATGACCTAGGCCAATTTAGTCTAGCAAGGAATCTAACACCATCTGATTAACTCTCTGTCATGATAAGCTGCTCCAAAAGGAAAGAAAGAAAAATAGATCTGCATTACCTGTTCCATCTATACATCAGAGCTATAGATGTCATAAGGGCAGAGTGTATTCTGTTTTATACTGAAGAACTGACTAATTAAAATGCTAATTAAAAAAGAATATCTGCTTTAGAAAGCAAAAAAAAAAAAAAAAAAACCTTTAGAAATTTGCTTTTGAAAGTGACACAGTGTCCATAGCCTGAAAACTTTGGTGAGGAAAGGTTAGCTGTGGAGTTGAAGGAATAGGTTACCTGCTGTTTGTGGTGCTGGCCAGTGCTGTGGGAAGCACTTGACCCGTGTAGATCCCCAGGAGTTCTTCTGGCCTCGCCACCAGCAGACACGTGGGACGGAGCCAGCAGTCGAGCACTGACGGGCCCGTAGCCATTGGGAGCCTGCTGAGCACTGTGTGAGGCAGCAGATACTTCATCTTCCTCTCCAGAGTCTGTAATCAGGATAAACTCGGCCTTAAAGAGATCATTCTCCTGCATTTCTGCTTTGTTTGAGTTGCCGCTTGGGGGCTGGAGAACGCTGTGGGCACTGTCTTGCCTGGCTCTACTCTTCAAGGCCGGTTCTTCAGCAGCTGTGTTTGACTGCAAAAGATGTAAGGAGAGATATCTATATCAGCTGCATTTCTCATGAACACAGGAGTAATTTTAGCTTGCAGAGGTGGCTGACACRAACAGTGCAGAGGGCTTCTTCCAGGCCCTCTGTCCCTCCTGGGAAGCCAATGCAGTGGGTTTGTTTCAGAGGGATCCTACGTTCACTGCAGCAGCAGGAGGCTTGGAGCAAAACGATAGCCTGAATCTGGGGCTGGAGCTGAAAGAGGGGTGCAATCAAGCCGAAGGAGCTGTCAGACCCAACTACACGACACGATGGGAAGGAACCCGCACTGTGGGATCCACGGAGGCAGACAATACTCCTCAGAGGAGTCTGACGGAAAAATCTGGGGCAAAACCTATACATATTAATGAAGAAACAAAGGCCTGGGAGACAAGGCATTCTCTGCAAAGGGCAAACAAAGAATCTGAGGTCAGGGAGCGTTACTGTATGCTTAAGAGCAAGCACTGCAGCACAAACCATGGTTGTTCTACTTATTCTTTGTGCTTTCSCTCACCAGCATGGAACTTCCCAAGTATACTTGGAATAAGAGCAGGAATAGTGCAAGCTTGGCATCATCAAATCATCTGTTATTGAATCTGTCAGGGCAAATAATATTTCTCCTGAAGGGGGTAATGGAGCTAAGGAAATGGTACTGCCGAAGAAATCCTGTAGATGGGGCTCGTGTTGGCATCCTGCTTGAAGAACATATCATGAGGACAAATTTCTATTGACAGGCCCAGGAATTCCTGAAATTTTGTTCTATTTGAAAAAATATAAACAGATAAATAAATAAATAAATACCCTGGTATATAAAGGTAGATACCCCAAGGGTAGGTTTTGGGGAGAATTATTTGCATTAGCTGTTGTGGTGCATTTTTTATTGCTCATGTTTTGTTTTTGTTTTCATTTGTTTGTTTTTTGAAATATTGGCCATGCATAGACAGCTTAAAAAAGAGAGCCAAAGATACTCTCGGGTCTCAGTACTGCACTTCATGTTCAGCAAGTTTTCTCTATCTACCTAGCCACATGCTAAAACAAATAGAGTAAGACAAATCTCAGTAATTCTCTTGTTTTACCTGGGACAGCGCTTAAAGCAAAGCCAATACTGGACGGCTTTGTAACGGCATGTAACTAATGGATGTTTTCATCCTGAGGATAATATTTTAGTGTATGTCTATTCAAACAAATCCACCTTCTGCCCAGATTTAACCTCTTTTTAGCAAGATTGGCCTCTGGAAACATGTTGAGGTTCAGGGCTTGGKCAAGCTCTTGGGCATCTCCATTTGTGTGGGAGTGCAAAAAGAACCGCAGCCCCAGCTACATCCCAAGCAAGGAGCTCTCTGTGACAAAAGAGCAGAAGAGCAGTGTATGTATTAAAATAAACCTGAGGGTTCTAGTTTTCTTTTCAATACCATGGAATAAAATAGGAGGCAACATATGGTGTGAGACAGGCAAGAATGAAGGTGTAGTGAACACTGTGGGCTGACTAAAGGCAGGAGAAGCAGTGCTGTGATGCTGTTGGGCTTGGGCTTCTCTGTCACAGGAAGTCATCGGGACCAGCTTTCTGAAGCAAAAAAATAGGCTTTCCCTTTGACTGATGTACTACTACACAGTTATGAAAGGGATTGGCACCTTAGCTGGCAGCCACATTGCTGGCATTTAATGAAAGCAGGATCCAGTGACCAAGTCGTGGTGGATTCCTGTGGGATAGTGCTCCCCTCACAAGACTTTGCACCTGGGGAAATGAGGAAAACATCCCTCCTCTCTGCCAAGAATATGGCACTGCGTGACTGACAAAGGACACTATTAGAAGGGGGAAGTGTTTGCTTCACCTGTGATATAACCTCTTCTGGAAGCAAAATGTTGAGCAGATATCAGCCCTCTCTTGGGCAATGTTTGTGCATCTCTGGTAGACATGTAATTTAAAATCAAGCACAAGTCAAGAATTAGTTCAAGGTAAAGAGCATCAGCTCAGGGATGCTTAGGACAGATTTTTCCACATCTTTTCTGAGAGTGGCAAAATAAACACAAGTAAAGAAAATACATATAAGTAAAATTCTACCTTATGCGTAGTTTCTTGACAGCTCAAATCCTTTGGGTCCTCAGGGAGTCTTACAAGGAACTTGGAGACATCTACAACTTCAAAATGAGTTGGAAGTTGTCCAATGGACGGAACAAATGTGAAGGTCAATGGCTTGGTTCCAGCTTCACGGGAAGAGATCTATAAAATGCATAATTAATTCAACTCTCTTGTATGGGCAAAGACTTTTGAAATACGAAATAACATACAGCGTTTGTATTAATGAGTTCATCTGCATAACTAGAAGTCTATTACTAGCTCCACTGGCCAACAGGTTTTGTATCAGATCAGTGTATATTTTGTACAAAACATAAGATCTGTTTTTACTTAGACTAAAATACCTGTATTTGTCATACCTGATCRCATTCATCAATACTGCATATATTCTAGTAGCCTGATGCAGAGGACAGGAGAAAACTTACTGGGCAATTTGGTATTCTTTACATCTACCTAACCAGAGGCAGAGAATCAAATTCTGTGCATTTAATTCTGCTTTTATCATTGTTTAATTGCACTTTAGAAGACCAACAGGGTGTTTACCATTACTGCTGTGTTTGGAAATAATGTAGTATTACATTGTACAAATACAAATACATTAAACATTTTGCTTAACAGCTTATAAAAAYTGGAAAAACATGTCATCAACAAAAGGAAAGGAAACTTGTTTATGCCTTGTTATATCAATGCAACTACTTCTGAACAATATCTGAATGATATTCTGCTTCAAGGAAAAGATTTCCCTCTGCTTTCTTTAGGCTGTTCAGCCACCATAAACCAGCTATGTAAGTGTCTGCCTTCTCATTTCTCCTTCCTCACCCTAGCTTCCCATTAGGACCCTGAATTGTCCAGAGAAGAAGAGAGACCAAGAGAATATGTCTTCATCTAGATGTCATCTTGACATTGAAGTCAACATTTATAGCACTCTCCAGTCACTTTACCCGCTTCATAGAAGATACCAGACTGGAAAAATAAGTCAGTGGAAAACCTTTGAGGTGTTTTGACAGTTGTGAGGGAGAGGAACTGTGAAGGCTTGAACAAGGCGCCCGGTATGGGAAACCACAGCCCACCCCAGACTACTGAACCAGACCCACTGTTTTTTCTCATTGCTGGTTGGAGTACAAAATCTCTTTCCGAGTCAAAATTACTGAATTTTTACCATTTTTAGTTGTTTCCCATTTTTCCTTGTTTCATCAGCTGAGTCTGTAACTCTTAATTTCTTCTTCAAGAATCTCTAAGATGCAGAACTTTGAACTACAGTTCAATAGTTGAATTCAATTCAATTCAAGTTGAATTACAGTTCAATACAGTGCTACAACAGGACTCCATTGCTTTGACTATTTTGTTTGCTTGTTGCTTAAAATCTACTATAAATTTGAAAACTCTGGCTCTCATGCTTCTTTGCAAATTACATCTATAAGCAAGTAGCAATTAGGAGGCATAGTGAAATACTCCACATGACTCAGTCTTGTGGTGACTGGAATGCTAAAGACAGGCACAGATTTTCAAATTTTAAAAACTTAAATGCATGTTCATTCCACTATCTTAAAGCTGTCTGATAGAGGGCCTGTATGAAACAGAGGCAGGTTATTTGTACAAACCCTACACRTGAACATTTTCTCTACAGTTCAGGAGAAAATCCTCTTTCTGAGTCACATACAGAACAAATTTCCAGGTGTCTGCATCTAAATCTGAAAGAATGTTAGGATTTATGCTATGATTTTTGAAAGTGAAATAGATATCTGAATCAATGGAGACATCTCAGTTTTGAACTTGGGCCCTATATTCAGAGTGGCAGAGGGAAAATATCTCCTGATTTGCTTCCACTGCTTCACACAGCTGGCCAAGAAAGAGAGAGCAGGATGCTCAGCCTGAAGAGAGCAGTGTTTGTTCCATATTGCATCRGGATGGCATGATATACTGGATGACATCTTAGTCAAGGGAGGGCATACGTCTGTCCTTCTCTTAGCAGCCAAGGTACCCATATTTTTCATAAGGCAATTATACAATTTCCCAAAGCAAGGCTGGTATGGTAACTTCATCACCTTGTTTGTGACAGAGCATCTTAAGTGCCCTGGCCTTAATAACTAGCACAAGCAGGTCCAGGTCCAACTCACAGAGCCCAGGTACAGACACCTCCCCTCCCCAGTACCTGCTGTGCCAGAAGGTGCTCCCGAAGAAGAAGGATTACCTGCCCTCAGACAGCAGCATCTCCCATGTTTTATGTACAGCATGATTTATGTACAGCTCACCCCATCCATCATGGTCTTACATCACACCTGTGTCTCCCCTGGCATCAGCTGGAGATGGCCTTTGCTTTCCTGAAGCTCTGTGGCTGGACTTTCATCTTGCAGCTCCAGTCAAGAAATGCAGCTAGCGACACTGGCTACCTCAGTTGTCCTCACCAGCATTTTACCTTCCCACCTCACCCTCTTATCATGCATTTGTTTGATACTTGACATGAGCTGTTTTGCACCAGTGAGTATTCTTGTGTTGGAGAGTAATATGTTGGGGCATAAAAGATTCCTTACGACAGAAGAAGGAAATATAGAGTGGAAAAAAAAGTATGCAAATAGTAAGCCCTCCACATAGATTTATAGATAATTCTAATCAAATGTGTTAGTATAACTAAACTCATGGTACTTTATATATTTGCGATGCAGAAATGCAGACAACAAACTCAAGTCATGTGGGTCCACATTATTAAAAGAAAATCATGTCAACATCCCCTCCCAGATTTCCCAGAGCCTAATCCTTCACACCGAATTTTATTGCTTTATTGGAAAAAAGAAAGAGCACCATGAAGAAYTTCTTACTGCATTTGTCCTAAACACATCATAGAAACAGTCATCAGAACTGATTCCAGGCTAAAACAAAATGGTGTTTCTATCCTTGAAGAGATGAAAGAAATGACTTCCAGGATTTAATTATGCCCATTAATAGCTTCTCTGGCATATATGTGTAAACAGCAGATAAATATCCTTTAATTATAGCAAAATACTTATGTGAGACCTTCTTGTAATTTTGCTCTTTCTCTGGATCCAGAAACAACAGCAGAAAGATGCAATGCCAAAGATTTCCTGCTGTTAGAATTCACTTGAATCAATGGATTTACTATGGTTAGAAAATATAATCTGTATGTCTGTTCAAGTAAATGTTAATGATTCTTGTTCTGTATTACATGTTTTGCTTTATCCATAATAAAATAACTGCTTGGCTTTAATTTTATTCTTTCAGCTTATTTCTTTGAAGACTATCAATTAAAGGAGTTAATGTAAATAATATTTGAATATCCATTAGGGGGATATAAGCTTCTGCATGAAATGCTGCTTTCATTTCAACAAGAGAAACTTATTCCAGATGACTTCCATGACTTTCTATACCATCAATTTACAAACAGGTTTGTTGCATAATTCATGCCTTCAATTTACGACTGGCCTAAAGGTAGCTAATAAAATTACGTTAAGTGTTATTTTTATTACCATGGCATCCAAACTCCTTTACTTGTAAAGTACATTTATTGTCTTGGGTACTATATGAAGACAAATGAATACTTTTATTTAATTCGCTCAGTCTTTATGCATTCAGCATAGTGCCTGTTTGGCCATTGACGCTGAGGTCCTAGTGTGGATTTCCTCCTGGAATACAGATTGTTCACATGAAATTGAATCTGTTGGTTTGCATTACTGCTTCTTCCACTGATTTGCTAATGCAAGTAATTTGGCTAATAAAATAATACCCTAAAAAAAATTAACTACTGAGGCACAAAGTGCTTCCTTTTGAGGCTATTTATTCACTTACCTAAAGGACCAAAAGGGGAATATATACATAAATAATAACAAAATAACAAGTGCGTGAATCATGACATGGAAATATGCTGACTGACACGYGGTTTTGGTCAGGGCTTAGGTTCACATGCCCGCAATTCCTGTGGGCTAAACATAGCCCTGATGTGCAGAGCACAGCTAAATCCTTCCGCAGAGGCAGCAAGGGGAGCCCCCAAGGCCCCTCCTGCCCTGCCACCCCTCATCTCAGCCTCCTCACCGGCTTCAAAGCCAACGTGAGCCACAGAACAGATCCAGAACAAAGCCAGTCCACCACACAAGAAATCATCAGTTAAGGAAGTGWAAGAGTCTTCAATATATTTTAATCTCCTGACTTATCATAGCATGGCTATCATAGCAACGTCATATGGATTTGCTGATTATTTTAGTATGATATATATTATAATATGAGCTCTGGCTTATCTCAAACCTCCTGCAAACAGCCACAGATGATCATCTGAACACCAGCCTTCTAGCCTGAAACTTCAGTGGAAAAGTTAAATCCATTCCAAAAGTCCAGGATGAAATTACAGCTCCGCTGCAGTTTGTGCCAAAATCCCCATTGACAGCTGTGGTCCAGGATGTTTCCCAAGCCGCTCATCTAGCTCTGTTACGTACGCATTGTATCATGTTGAATAAATCACTTTTAGCCTCTTTCTGTACAGAAGAACACACTAAAACTCACACACAGAAAAATATTATTTTGAAAATTAACATGTATTAAGTTCTAGAAAGAAACCATGAAATGTAATATAAAATTGTAATCTATTATTTGAATTGCAAGGGTTCCTGCAGTGAAATCCTTCTTTTCAAGAATCATTTCAATTAGCTCTTCAGCGCAGCAGACTTCATACAACCATAACTGCTCTTTCATACTAACCTGCACAGACGCAAGTAAGCATGGTGTAAAGTAAGCAAATATAACCTTTAATTTCTTCCCTTGCAGTGGAGGAGTAAAATATCCCGAGTGTYACATTTAATTAACTTAATCAAGTGCAGCTTGACTACACGCATGTACAACAGGAGGTCCCAAGGGGACCTGGATGTATGTTTTGGTAGCACCAAGGTCCTTAAAGCCCTTAGTTGCTCTAGTCCATCCAAAAGACGCTGCTCCAAGGAAGCAACATTTTGCAAGCTAAACCCCACACACAGTCACATAGGTATACACAATATATGCTTGTACAACATGGTAATATTCTTCTGGCCACCCAAAGGACTGCAGCCTGATTAGTCTTAGCCAAACAGCAGCAAGGTGCAAATGATCTCAGGCTTCCAGTCCTTTGCTAGATGAATCCACCTCGGTT